GACCGGCGGGCGGTGGTAGGGGAGATTTCAGAGGTCGCGGTTTTGGCCATCGCGGAAACCATGACAACCAAAACGCCGCCCGCGCTCAGATGTACCGTCAACAAGCCGAACAAGCTCAATCGACCAATCAGAGTGATAACTATAGCCAGAGGGGAGGTTACCAGAGACAAAGTCAAAGCGACCAACCCAGAGGACGTGGTAGCTATCGCAGAGGTCACGGACACGACGATCGTTACAGCGATAACAATACGCGAGTTGCCTATGATTCTGCCGGAAGCTACGGCAGCGATTCCTTCGAACCCAAAAGGGCTAGAACTTATGATAACTACCAGAACACTAGGATCAACTACGCTGACCAGTACGTACAGGAAACGCAACAAAATCAACAGTACAACTCCAGAAGGGGTACGGGTGGAAGGAGTCGCGGAAGCCGCAGCGGAAGAGGACGCGGATATTATTGAAATTCCTTCCACATCCATCCTATTAATATTATAATCTCCTATACTGCATCTTAAGTCTGCCGCGCTTCAGCTAATATCGATCGACTCGAAACGAAACTATTATATATGATATATAAATAATATGTGTAACCAAATAATAATAAAAAATGATTAATTTATTTAATATGAATAAAACATTATTGGGACTTGAAGAAGTTTGTTATATCGCCAGCGCCGTTCTTCTTCTTACTTTGTGCCACTTTATTGGTTTTCCCTATCACAGTTGTAGGAGGATTAAGTTCCAGGTGTATTTTTTTAGCAAAATGATAGTCCATGTGACTATCAAAGTCTTGTACTCCTATTTTCAATTTACACAACGAACACACCGTGCTATTCGAATCATCTTCAACACTGCCATCTCTCGATGCGAAGAAATTCGTAAGTTTCAAGCATTTGGTATCGCTTTTCCTCTTTTTCGTTTTGCTGCTTTGTACAGTTTGCTTGTCTTTGCTGCTCGTAACGGTTTGCTTTTTACCGAGCGTTTGCTCTTTACCGCGTTTCGGAGTATTTTTAATATTCTCTTTACTCTGCACAGGTCTTTTGTACAGATGAGATTCGTCTGAAACTATTTTCAAAGCGAAATGATAATCCATATGTGAGACCATATCTTCAGATGCGATTTTCTTGTTGCATTGCGGACAGTTTTGCACTGATCCATCATCATCCATTTGAAAATCACTAATGTTATTGTTACTGGTTGTAGCCACAACTTCCGATTTTATATCCTGCAATTCATCATCTATCACTTCATCAATGATATCATCGATATTCTCTTCCAGTATCACAGACGTATCGAAATTGCGTTCGACCGCATCAGTTTTCAAATAGTTTTGAAAAAACGACGGAACAGATTTTTCCGCGATTTCATCGGTAATAGAATCAGCCGATTCTTCAGATACTTCATTTACATTTTCTACAAATCGTTCAATCGATACTTCATTTGAATTTTCGGTTTGATTAAGAAGCGAAACATTAGTATTTTCATCCAAATCAATCGGCTTATTTACTTCATGTATTTGATTATTTTCAATTGCACTTTTCGTCGTATTTCCCTCATCGAGATCTCGTATTTCGTTAACAGCTTCAGCTTTTTTAAAGAACGTTGTAATGTCGCAACTCTTTTTAACTTCATCGAATTTTCCAGCGCTGAGACCGAGGAATTGCAAACAAAACTTTTCCTCCTTGCTGATGCCGTTCTTTGTTAACACTTTGAATGCTTCCCCCATAATGTAATCGGTTTCAACTGAAGAGATCGGATGCGTTCTCGAACATGACACATCTTTTCTTCCCACTTTGTTCACGTAACTGACAACCATCTGCCTCGGTTTCCGATTATTATCCTGAACGTCTTCCTCCAATCTGACCGCCATTTCTATGGACAATTCCTTGAGCCAATGCTGCACAGATTCGATGGTTGTCAGAGACGCTTTTCCGGCAAACTTCTTGCAGCAACCAATGGATTTCGAGATCAATCGAGTAGTCACCGGCTCCAAATCGATTCCTCTCGCAATATTATAGAGCCAACAACTATAATTATAAATTATAATCAATGTTGTTAAACTAACAATTGTATCATCATTACCCGGTCTTCTCATCGAATGATTTGATAAGATCCTCTTTAGTAAATCTCGCCAATTCAATCATATTCGTTATTTTCAATTTTTCGGATAAATGTGACCCGAATTTCCCACCTAAAGATTTGATTTTCTTCACCGGAATTTTCTCGTACAACTCTGCGACATTCTCTTGCGGTAAAATGGTCTGCTGGTTCGGTTTGTGCAAACCACATACTAGTTTTGCTAATATCTTATTATGCGCAATTCCCGCCGAACAAGTATACCCTACAAACGATATCGTAAAAAAGACAATAATACCGTAAAATCAAACGATTTGTCTACCAGTTTCTTCAAAAACTTGTCTCCTGATCTCTTCGGCAATCATCCCACCAATTGCCAATTTCAAATTAGCATCGTTGTGCAGATCTGAAACGTCGGTTAAGTAATGATCCACATGATCGTATCCTACAATTTTTGTATTTGGTAAATCTTTGGATGTTAAATCTTTATGTAAAGAAATCCTCTCGCAAACCGAATCAGTTATATCCAAATAAGCTTCATCCACTGAAGCTCTTTCTAACAGTTTTGTGAATTTCAATAAAAAATCGGCGACGCGTTTTCCCGCATCTCTATACCTGCAAATTGTAAAACATTAACACACACAAAATAGTAAATGAAACAAGTAAATAAAATACTTGGATAAATCGGCTTTTCCTCTAAAATTTGGCACTCTGACCAGCACGATTTCCGGGCACTTTTCCTTCGCTTCGTTGCCTCTCATATGTCTCGTAACGCCTTTGTACCTCGCAGGATAATTAACAGCGATTATACTGCAAAAAAATTGCATTTATTACGCAACGAATGTAATTTTACATTGTAAAATATTCATATTCATTCAACAACAGACTTATTTTCCAATTTAGTTAGCTCCATCCAATAAAGCAATTGTGCTCTATTGCAATTATTGAATTAAACCTTCCACATCTTGTTTAACAACTTATTTAACAGTTTCTTTAGCTTCATGTTGTGCTGATCTAATCCTACCATAAGTTTAATAGTAATTAAATTCCTCCATTTAACATATCATGAAAAGATTAAGTGATTGAATGCAATTGAGTGAGAAACAAATATTACCCTCCACCTTTCCAAGAATTGTGCTGGACAACAGCAATTGGTTTTCCTTTTAATTCTGGATTCAAGACTTCCTCAACCTGGCAATAGAAGCAGTCCATATCAACCAACAAAACTATCCGTTCTGTGTGATCCATGATTTAGAATTTCCTTATAATTTTGAGTAGAGGCACATGAAATAAATAAAAAACAAACAAAACAAAACACAACCAACTGTTTTTCTCCTGTCAAAAGTTAAATCACAAAAGTGCGGTTATGCAAGAAGTGGAGAGAAAAAAACGAATGCACCAATGGTGGGACGAATCACGTTCATGTTAACTGGGCAATATAACCTGCAATAACCTAAAAGAACTGTCAGTCGGTTTTGTTGACAATACATTGCGAATTTATTTTTGAATCGTACTTTTTTCAAAAATGCCTTCGAAGAAGAAGAAATACAACGCGAGATTTCCAGCAGTAAAACTCGAATAGAGAAGTCGCCGGGTTCGAATCGTCCTTGCTAATGATGTTGTTTGTTTTAGGGGAGGATCAAAAAGATAATGCAGACAGATGAAGAAGTTGGAAAAGTAGCACAAGCTGTACCAGTCATAATCTATATCCTTTTTTTTGCATACGCAGTAAATTTTAATTTCAGTGCATCGGAATGTATATATTTTTCCTTAATGCTTTCGTGCACCTAGAACCCTTGAGCTGTTCGTTCAGTCCCTGCTCACCAAGTCCACGCAAATCACACAGAGCAGGAACGCGAAGACGCTGACCCCTTCACACATGAAACAGTGCATACTCTCTGAGAGCAGATTCGATTTCCTGAAGGACCTAGTGAAAAACATACCGGACGCGAGCGTGCAGGAGGACAACGAGAACAACGAAAACAATGTCGTCGATGTAATAGACTACTCGATGAACAGGGAGGAAATAAAAATTGAGCTGGTGGACGATGAGCTGGACGTTAAACCAGCCAACTTTTACACAGAGCAATCCACGTCGACCGTGGAGAGGAAGCCGGTCATACAGTACGGCCCGAGCGTGAGGAAATCCGATCCTCCAGTTGAACCATCTCCCATTCCCAGTTTGGCATCCGCAGAGGTCCCAAAGATCAATATCAAAATGGAAGCCATAGAGAAGGAAGAACCCAATTTTCAGATTGATGTTAACCCTCAGAGCGACAGCAAAACCACCATCACCAACAATAGTAGTATAGCGAAAATAAGCCCGGCCGAGGTGCCGCCGCTGATTCCTATCTCCCAAAACTATGGCCAAAGCACCAGTGATAATCTTTACATCGACGAAGATTACGATATTTAAGTATTTCCTTTTGTTTCTTATAATGTAGAGATTTCGGTTTTCTTCACAATATTTTTTTTTTCTTCAAAACTTAACTAAGTTGAACATATTCGTAATTCCAATTTAATTAGTAAACTATTCTAAGATATTTAATTTTAAACATATTTTTTTATGTATTGATAATTTTTTTTTTGTAAGCTATGTTTTGTATAATCTACAAATTTTTTGTAAAATTCGTACACCACTAAATTCTTGATTCTATATAAATGAAACATATTTAATTTTACTATGTGCCTACTTATGTAAATATAAGATTTTTGTATTTATTGATTCTTTTTTTTTATCTACTATGTTTTGTACATCTATAAAAATCTTGTGAAACTCTGGACTATATAAATTAAACATATTTAATTTTAATATGTACCTTCTTATGTAAATATAAGGTTTTTGTATGTATTGATAATTTTTGTTTTAAACTATGTTTTATATACCTACAAAAATCTTATGGAATTCGTACACCACTGAATGAAACATATTTAACATTAATATGTGCCTACTTATGTAAATATAAGATTTTTTTTGAATATTTATCTATGTTTATTTATTTTTTTAACAATTTTCCTTAATATGTTGTTGCTTTTACTTTCATTTCACTAGAAATAAACTAAATTTTCTTCCATCATTACAAATATTTGCGGTATCTTTCCTATAGAGATTATACACTATATGTAATTCGTTCAGGTAATTAATGTAGACGAATTGTGTAGGATTGAAATGGGAATGTAATTGAAAGACGGCGAGAATAAAAAAATCGAAAAAATATCTTTTATTTAAAAAAAATAAAAATAATATACCAAAATTATACTATCGATATATGTACAATTGCTTGGCACTTGGATCTTCTCATAATAAAATTACATTATAAATAATATATACTATCGTTATTATTTATATAAATATTTATATTGCGCAATATATTCTTTCATACTTCTTCCTCATCGCACTCGTTGATGTCTTTCTGTCTGTCTCTTCATTAGCGCTGCTTTTGCGAAGTTCATAAATAATGTATAAAAAATAATAACTAATATTGCATTTACGGACGTTAACACAACATATACACATACAATAGAGTAAAATGAAAAACACACGAATTATTTACAAGAAAATAATATTATAAAAGACGTACTTATCTGTTAGGTAACTGTTACATACAACTGATAAATTAAAATTGAAAATAATAAAATATATAAATAGATGTATATATAAATATATGTAAAAATAATAATATGTGATTATTATAAAATGGATAAAAAAAGAAATTGTTTTGTCGCGCGTGTGCATAGATCAATATACAATTAAATATTAACTAAGTACAGTAATAAAAACGGATTACACGATATTTAATATAAATTAAGTTTTCAAATAACTGATCCAATTTCGTATCGATATTTTTGTTTTGTTTTAAATATGACGAGATGTAAATAAATATTAGTGTAATTAAAATAAAATTATTGTAACAAATGTGTGCGAACGATGCGAAACGTGTGCTGATTATCAGCTGTATTCATTGCCTTCGTACAGTCCTTCACACACTTCCAGTAGTTTAAGGACGGGACTTATGTTGTATGGGAAGAGGTCCTTTGAAACCAACCTGGTTATCTGATACTTCAATCTAATTAATACTGTCATAGTGTTGTCCATCTCGTTGATTCTCGTGACCGTCGAGCACTCGGAGCAGCTCGACACGAACTTGGACCAGTTCCTCCTGGTGTACTTCAGGAATCGGAGAAGGTACAGCAGGAAGCAGGTCTCGTTGCTGACCAGATAATCCAGCAGGACGCCCGAATCGTGGCTGACGATCTTCAGGAACTCGATGAACGAGAATATCGGGTTCAGCATGTTGATGAGGTCGGGGAAGACGGCGTTCCTGTAAGATATACCTATCGTTATGTCCAGCGTGCAGACCATCGACTCGATAAGATAGTCGTCCTGATCGCTGAACAGGTGAATAAGTATTTTCGGGAACGGCGTCTCCGGATGAAAGTCCAATCCGTTCTTTAGGAAGACGTCGACCTTCTTCAGCACATCTCTGATGGATCTCTCGATCAGCTGCATGTCCTGGTAGAAGTCGTAGTCGTCGGATCCGACGCTCGAATCGGAACTGTCCGACCGCGTCTCCTTGATCGTGATCGCCACCGATTTTAATACCAAAAGCACCATCTTCTGCAGCAACGTTTTATCTGTGCTCGCCTCGTTGTGCAAGCTTTGAATGGTGCCCACGAAGCTGTTCACCACGAAACCTTCCGTTCTCCTATACGGCAGGCAATCTAGTAATCTATAGTCCTTCACGTAGCGTACAATTAAATGCGCTAATTGGCAGGTATCTTCAGGTAACATATCTTGCAATGCCAAAGTGCTGCCATAGCAAAGTACTTCATTGAACAAGGACAGCAGCTGCTTCCAAATGAGAGGAGATAAATTGCTATGCAATAAACCAACAAACATCTCCAGGTGTGCATAAAAAGGCTTGGTATCAATTATGCTTAGATTGGCTTTAACAGAGATGGTGCTTTCCCAGAGCGCCAGAAAAGTTAGAATACATGTTTGGGCTTCCACACAATCATTGTGCATTATCAGATTTTGTATTTTGCTAACCAGATCTGGCCATTTAGATTCCAAACTCTTGATAATCAGTCCTTTGATAGCAGATGTATCGTAACTGTCTGAATCACTGAAAATCACCTTGGTGCAGGTCTCATTTTGGGAGCTGGTGCTGGCCCCCTCCTGCAACTGTGTCTCTTCCAACACATGGATCTCGATGTCCTTCCATTCGACCACCCGCTTGATGACCTCAAGCGCGAAATTGATTTTAACGTAGTCCACATTGTCAGTCGTTAAGTAACTGATGATGGTTTCCAACCATTCGTTGTTTATGCTCGTCTTGGCGACAATTAAAAAGCTGCTCAGCACTTTGGCGGACATATAATTCACGTACTTGTTTCGCGTATCGCACAACGAGATGATCTGCTCAATCAGATTATAATCATTTCTAATGATGGTGTTGCAAATGTCCACTATTCGAGAGCATATGTATCCCTTGTTGTTCTGCTTCAGGTATACGTCGAAGAGCAGTTGGAGTTTGGACAGGTACTCGAGGATCTTGGTTGTTGGCCATTCAATGAGCATGGCCGTTCTGGTTCCATTGCAGTCAGTGATTTGTTGGCCCTCGAAGGGCTTCCTAAGGGTGGCCTCAGATATTCCGCATAGACACTGTTTTATTAGATAACTTTGAAACATATCTACTTCGTTAGTATTCATCACCATTTCACTTTCCTTTGGAAGCACTATGCCATTGTTTTATGTATTGGGACTGGCGGGGGCTTAAACGGTCGCATTTGGCGCTGAAAACAGTAAACGCACATTATTATTATTGGTCTTGTGGGAGTATCGACGAGCACGACGAGGTTGGTAAATATGCGGTGAACGGGTCTCGTCGCCGTCGTGAATTCACACATCACCCCCCCAAACATAATTGTTGTGAATTGTTGATGGCAGGCAGGTAAATATATAGAGCGAGAATTGTTTGTGTATGGATGGATATGGTGAGGTTAGCTTCGCGCGGGGCTCTCAATGAAACGAGATTGGTGAGCCCCAACGGGATGCTGAGGTGCTGATGGAGAATGCGGAATGGTCGGGCAGTAAATACTTACAATAGTTATTTAAATTTCCACATATAAATAAAACACACTCCATTGCGTACAATATGCTGCGGTAACCAAGCGATCACCCACATTCATATGGGGGGACGACACTTTCGGCGGTCGGAATTAATTGATGCACTCGCACATCGCGGTTTCCCAGCACATTTTCCAATCAGCTCGATGGAAATCTTACGCCGTCGCACCCTTCCATTATTTTACGATCGAATTAAATACTGCAATTTTAGCGCTTCATGAATTTGACTAGGTTTTACTGTTTACGAAGAATGTGCGATATTGCCACATGTTTCTGTGCCTTTCTTCATTGCGTCCCATGGATTCCTCCGGCAACTTCAAAATGTTTTCCATGCACCACACATAATATATAATAATTATTATATAGAATATTTACATTTATTTATGAACATACACAAGCACAAATACTTATAAATTTAACGAAATTTATCTCTCTTTTTTTTTATAGTTCGCTATGAATGTACTTTAGTATTTTCCAGTGGCGTACCCAGGTATTCATAACTTTCAAACAGGGATTTCATAATGAACTATAAAAATAATACATTTAAATACTTTTAATAAGTTTAATATTGAATTCAGCTTAATAATTTTATCAAAACACAATTGTTTCAAAAAACAGACTGTTTTCTCTTCATTTAATCAGGTCAAAATTTTAATAATTAACTGAAACAAGTATTAAAAAGAAATTGCATATCAGATTATTTTCTTTAACTGATCACAAAACTAAATATTTTACTTACAAAATATGATTAAAACAGTTGTGTATACGCCACTGCTAAGCTTATCAGATATCATAAGAAATACTAAATTCTGAATTTAAATAAAATGTTTATACTAGATTTTTTTCGTTGTTCAACTATGATTGTTTTTTCATTGAATTCAATATGTATTTGAAGATTTAAGACTAATAATAAAGAACACGATGTGTATAATTATTAATAATAATAATTAATTGGTTTGGTAGTGTACAGTTGGACAATGGTTACGGTTTAAGTTATAATAGGCTTAACGGTGACATTTCTTTGTGTCTCATATTATATGAAGTGTGGATGCATCATAATTCTTGTATTGGTAACCTTGTTACGCCACTGGTACGTTTAATTTAAAATGTATTGCAATATGAAGATTACCGAAGCGTACGTCTTTGCATAGAATGAACATGCATTGATGATATTCGTGAGTATCATAAAAATATATTTGATAATGGTGCGGCGAGGATGGTAATTGAAATGTATGCATGTGCATAGAGGAAAGAGGGAACAAACGAACGACTTCCTTCCTCTTGCAGAAGCGGAAGGTTGTTCGGCGGTAGCGGCAACGTCGCTTCTAGGTAGAGTAGTAGGTTTGCGTGTGTTGGTGTTTCTGTGTGTGTGTGTGCATTTGTGTGCGAGTGTATGTGTATTATTTGCATGGAGTGTACGTCTAGTGGGGGTGGTTCACTTAAAATGGCTACGAAAACTTTTCAATTGTGTGAAGTGCATTGAAATACGGAGAGACGAGAGACGTTTCGGCCTGGGCGGAATTATCGCATCGTATCAGGTAAATATCTTCGCTGCGACCCCATCCGTTTGGGGGGCACCATCGGTGCGTGCGTGTGCCCAGTGGTTTCTCAGGTTCCCCCAGGGGGGACCCAAGTGCGAGTGCTGCGTATCCTTCCCTGCGATTATTGAAATATGTTTATATTTAGGTTAACGTGCATATATCTTCGCGAATCGCGTCCTTCGGATTCTGTTGTAGCTGCAGCAGCAGTACCTTCAGTACCTTGGGTGCAACGCCTCTCTACATACCCCCCATAGCACCATCCTCATCATCATCTGTAGCGCAATATGTCCATCCGCAGAAACGCGCGGAGCCCCCCCGGAATATCGCGTATAACAAAAAAAAAACAATATATTATGATCTAATCGTTTTTGTTATCAACATAACAACGAAAAGAAAAAAAAGGCGACGATGAAACAAGTAACAAACGACCGTAGGCTTCCACGAAACCTCATTAATTTATTTAAAACAAATTCAATAACGTTCTCTTCTCTCCTCTT